GGATGGATGGTGTGTGTGAGTGAGAGGCTCATGCACACTGATTTACGGATGAGAGTCGTTTTGTCATGGTGACTGACCGACTGACTGACTGACGGGACGGGCCGCTGGGTGCATGGCGTGCATGTATGGATGGTCAGTTTCATGCCACTGTCGGGTGTCATGCATTCCCCTGCATGTGATGTCGTGCTGGGGGATGCATGTGCACCCTCCGTGTGTATGGATTCATCTTTTGTCTGTATGCTGCACGCACATGCACACACTCGCCGTCACTCAGCAGCCGTGGTCACACGCGCACAGTGTACGTACGAACGGCCGGGAATGTGCATCCGTGTCGGTGCGTACGGGATGAGACGGACGAGACAGACAAGCGAATGGAATGAAAGGCCCGGCTACTGCCTGTGGTGCAAGGGCACCGAAGATGCGAGAATACACATTTTGCACACGTAACCTGACTGACATAGCCCCCCCCCCCACACACACACACAGAGAGAGAGAGAGAGATGACCTGAGAGAGCTGTTCCTTACCTGATAGAGAGGGAGAGAGACTTTGTGTGTCTCTCTTCTGTGAGTATATGGATAATCGCCGCAGCGGATCAATGCACTCACATACATTTGTCGAATGTCTCATTTGTGTGCACCTCGTGCTCGTTTGTCTGTGCGCCTGGCTGCGTTAGTATGTGTTTAGTCTGCCTGCTGGGCAGGATAATTGAGAGTAGCTGGTGGGTTCGTTAGTGGCGGCGTGGGTGGATGGACTGATGATCGACAGTAAATATTACCTCTCTCAACGTCTCTTCCAATTCATCGTTGTCCCATCATTGTGCGCAGCACCATCGATGTCAATTCTATGAATCACTTATGTTCGCCATTGCCACCACTTGACAGCGAAAGCGACATTAATGTGTGTTTCTTTGTCGCTTCCGCTGGTTCCACTCATCCATCAGCTACTGATTGGTCGAACACTACGGTTGCACCGACAGGCCCCAGCACCACACGCGCCAGCCGAGTGGTCAGTGGGAAGCGATGCTTGAATACAGCACACACTACAGACAGCCCGCTCCGTCGTCCAAATCCGAAGATGCACTGGAGACACACCCAACAATACAGCATACTGAGTTGATCAGCAGCACCCATTATGTGTTCTTCCTCGAGCGAAGGCCTGGCTGATGCCAACCCACGCGACGAAGGGCTGGCTGCCATCGTTCAGCACAACGGCGACTCGCAAGGACACCGTCAGTCATACAGAAGGACGTACTGGTGGTGCACCCCTCGACAGCTGCGTGTGGCATCCGTCTGAGCAGGGTGTGCAGGTGATGCATGACCTCATTTCTGATAAGTGACACACACATGACACGCAAGAGACACATATGGCCACAAACAAATACCAAAGAGACTCACGTAACGCACCTGCGAACCAAATGGGCGATGAACGACGACATGGACAAATATTTTGTATCCCAGCCAGGCAGCCACACCACAGCCGATTGACAGCGAATGCGGCTGCTGACCGGGGGGGCGTTTTCTTGTCGGTGCCGCTGGTAGAGGTGGTTGGCAGCGAGAGGCAAGTCAGGGTCTCTGATGGCTCGGAGTATGTCGCCATGCTGGAACAGTTGGCCAAGCTCGTCACGCGACATGTCCATTGTGTCATACGAGATGCCGTCTGCTGGCCACCAAGCTCACGGCCGCCTTGTTGCTGCTGTCATCCTGAACCTCACCCCTCTCGCGTCGCCGCCAGTGCTCGCTGATGACGTCGGGCCTCTTGCGCAGAGACTGACGCAGCGCCGCGCAGATGTCGGGATGGCAGTGGATGAGGCGCGCGATGAGGATAGCGAGCGAAGCTGTCGAGCAAGTTGCTCGCCAGCTGATGGTCGGCAAGCCATCCCTCCACCACGACCTGACACAGGCCGATTGCTGGACGAGACCTCTCTCATGCCGATTGCTCACCTTGCGATGGATGCGCATGGCTGCGCCACAGGAGGCTCTGAGTGCTGCCCTTGACAAAGATCTGGTCGACGTCGAATTGCAGGTAGTCGAGGGCAATCATGGCCTCCAGCAAATTGTCCTTGGTCAGCGAGCTGACGATATCCATCTCCTGCTGCAGTACCACCTCACCGATGGGCCGGCTGATCTTCTCGATGCACACCTGACGCTCCTGGCCCTCCTGAAACTTGCCGCCCATCACCTGCACACACACAAAGGCGATGGCCAGATTGCCTCGCTGGTTTCTATTCCTGCTAATGTTGCTTCTCACTGACGGATGTGCTCTCCTCCCCTTCATGGAAGAGGAGAGCAACGGTGACGGCAGCGAGCTCAGGCCGCAGACTTTCTCCCTCTCTTCTTTTTAGAGCTCTCATTCGTCGTACCCGTTCCCATCTTGCCCGGCATCCCCTCCCAACCCATCGCCTCTCCCGCCCGGCCTCTCTTTTGGGGCTCTTCCGTAAGTTCAACTCAGTTCACTGACGGCCGTGATGCAGACAAAGCAGCACCGACATGTACAGCCGGCGAGTGCATCCTATATCTCTTTCCGCTGCAAGTGCAGCGTGACGGAGCCGGGAGATGAGCTGGTGTTGGTCGGCAGCTGCGGGGCCCTCGGCTGCTGGCGTGTCAGCAAGGGCCTGGCCATGACGACAGACCAACAGACGTTCCCGCAGTGGACGCTTGCTGAGGAGCTGGTGCTGGCTGCCGGCGAAAAGCTCGAGTACAAGTACGCGATCCGCAGGAGCGATGGGCACATTGAGTGGGAGCCACTTGAAGGTATCGCGGTCGATTGCATGAGAGTGTCTGCATCCATCAACTTGACGGCCTTGTTATTGCGAGTCATGAATGCAGGCAATCGTTTGATCCGGTCGCTGCCGACGGGCCAATTCTCGCTGGACGACAGCTGGGGTACACAGATATGAACATACGCACAAACACGCGTATGCAGAGTGTCTCTGTTAATCTCTCTGTGTGTGGGTGCATGCAGGTGTGCTGCCGCCATTCACCCTGATGAAGGCCAAGTTTCCCCACTGCTCCACTTCCCACCGGCAGCAGCAGCCACAGCAGCAGCAGCACAGCCAGAATCAGGAACAGCATCCCTTCACATACATCTTCGCTGGCCGCTGCAGCTTCTATCTGCTCAGCGTTGACGATATCCTCCGGCTCCGAGGCACATGCACATGCCTCAGAGACCTCTTTGAAGCCCCTCAGCTGCGGCAGCGGCTTATTCACTCACTCAGCACACAGGCGGGGCTGCAACGGGTGGCCAGCAGACAGCCGCCAATTCAGCTGCTCGCCTTTGACGATGAGCAGATGGATGTGGCTGAGCTTCTGGCGGCTGTGTGTGTGATTGAGGTGGGAGGTTCGGCTGAGATCTCCGACGTGATCGACCTGGCGGGGCAGTGCAAGTACTGCCCGTTGCCTGTTACCCTCACTGCGGCCGATCTATACCAATACCCAAACAAGACGGCAAGCGTGAAAGGGAGGGGATGGCCAGGAGGGAATATACCTGTCGCTGCATGTGCTGTCTGTGCCTTCATTTGATGTGTGCAGGCGTATTTGGCTTATCCGCGTGTGCTGGCCCAGCTGTGGTTGGTCGGCCACCACATCAACTTCGGCGACGGCATGATCCTTCGCCTGTTTCAGCATGGGAACGTACTGCGGGCATTCCGAGACGACGATGGCTTCGAGCTTACAATCAACCCGGACCTCCCAACCGGCAGCATCTACCATTTATACCCGCAGGATCGGCGAGAGCAGGACCCGCCCGTTTCCAGCAGAGTCGACTATGGGATAATCCAATCCGGCTCAGCTGATTCAGAGTGGGGGCTGGTGCCGGGAAATGCGGAGCTCCGTTATGTGTCTGTGTCATCATTCGTGAAAGGTGTCATTTTGACGCACTTCAGGACAAGCCATCAGATCGACTTTATTAACACAGCAGTGGCCAGGTGAGTCGGGAGATGTCAAGAAGAAGGTTGTCCAAATACGCGTCTCCGGTATGTTGGGTGTCATTCGTCAGACATACGGCAAATGATCGGCTGCATACCCTTATGACATCAGTCGAAAGATGCACCACCACCGTAACGTTTGGAGTCCTCCTCGTCAGCAGTCGTGATTTTGCACTCACTGACGCCAGCCAGCCCTTTGTCGCGTGGATTCAGCTTCATGATCCAGATTACTTGTCTTTGCTGCAGCCCTATAGTCAGTCCCTGCCGATTAATTCATTACACTGTACATCATTCATCGGCTTGCTCTTGTTTGTTTGTTTGTTTGTTTGCATTCGTGCAGTCAGCGTGTCTGTCCTTGCAACTGAAGCAGCTGTCGGTGGTATGAGTGCTGCCTTTGAGGACCGCTTCCCAATGACCACCCGGCTGGCGCGCGTGATGCTGGGGCCTGTCATTGCAGCCATCCTGTTTGACAGGCCCCACACTTTGACAGGCCCCACAGTTTGACAGGCCCCACAGGTATGGAGATGAATGACCCAGCACATCTTCACACAGGATGCGACTTCTCCGCCTTCTCTGTCTCTTAGGTCATGTGGCCCTAGTATGGACTGCGCGGTGTAGGTGTTATCTTGAGGCATCGGCGGTAGACAGTCTGATTGGAGACATGCAGAGAAAAGTTTGTTGCAAGCCGTTGATAGCGTGGCAGGACGTCTTATTGTATGTTTGCATAGACATTTTGATCGACTCTGCCAGACTTTGCAGCTGCGCGTGGTGCTGGGCCTTGTCGCTGCAATGTATGCAGATAAACGAATCAACGACAATCACATATGGATGTCGGCTCGAAGTGATAATGGGACAACGATCACGATTTTTGCATGATTTGGAAGAGACATGTACAGACTTAATATTGTCATTCGTTGTCAACGAAGTCAGAAAACACGTATACGAATTGCTAAACGACTACTCTCATTTATCCTGCCCAGCAGGCAGACTAAACACATACTAACGCAGCCAGGCGCACAGACAAACGAGCACGAGGTGCACACAAATGAGACATTCGACAAATGTATGTGAGTGCATTGATCCGCTGCGGCGATTATCCATATACTCACAGAAGAGAGACACACAAAGTCTCTCTCCCTCTCTATCAGGTAAGGAACAGCTCTCTCAGGTCATCTCTCTCTCTCTCTC